ACACTTCTCACAGATTCTCTGCACACTTCTCACAGATTCTCTGCACACTTCTCACAGATTCTCTGCACACTTCTCTCCCAGATTCTCCGCGCACTTCTCTCCGATTCCCTGCGCACTTCTCTCAGACTCTCTGCACACTTTATATTATTATTATTATCATCAGGGCGGGACAAACCTGCTTGCTCGCTTGCCCAGGGCAACCAAAATTTGCCCCCGGGCAAGTAGCTTGAAATGGCACTTGCCCGTTCGGGCAAGCAAGTTTTTTTTATTGAATGTCTAGACATAATGATATTTTTCTGTTTCCACCCATCCCTTGCATTGTTTTGCACAGACATAAGCTACCTTGCTGCCAAGAGATTTGAATGAAAAAATAACAATACGAATGAAACAATCAGTGCATACAGTCATATATATGCACAACATGCACACAGCAACATGTAAACCTGGCCCCCAGGCCAGGCATAGTCGTTACGTGATCAGCTACCTCAAATGTTTGGCCCTCTACTGCAACCTGTGAATGGGGATTTTCTTTGCTGAAGTACACACACAGATACACTGTATACTGTGCGGTCATTCATTTATATCTGCATGCATGCACCGCTATATTCTCTGTGCTTAAGGCCCCTTCACACTAGAGCTACGCTCATCACGATCGCCCCACGCTCGTGCCGAAAAGTTTGCCCGAGCGTGGTGAGCGTGGTTGAGAGCGTGGCCAATTGGGCCCCAGCTGGGCACAGCGCCGATACTACGATCTAATGATTTCGATACTACGATCTAAGTGCATCTTTACCCCGATCTCATTGCGCTCAACAAGCTTTCACCACGCTCAACACCACGCCCGCATCACGCTTGCACTGCGTTCACTGCGTCTTTATTGCGAGCAATCAGATCGCATTGTGTTCGAACGACGTTTTCACTGCGCCTAAGCAACGCTCACCGCGCCTCTACTGCGCGCCAGTCACGCTCCTAGTGCAACTTAATCACGAGCTGGCAACAACCATATAAATACCGCGCCGCGTTCTAGACATCATCATTCGTTCTGCCGTGCTGTTCACATCAAGATTATTTTCTACTGATTTTATACCCATAATAGTATAATAGTATACTACAACTATGCCGCCAAAAGACTTCTATTTCTCCTCCTCATCCTCCTCAGCATGATGAGGGCTTGGCAATCAAGTAATTCGAGTTGTCCTTCTACAAGAAACATGGCATGGAGTAGTGTTGCCTCATCCATAGTGGACACTAAACTGGTGGGGTGGCCAGGGTACTGAGGGTAGCACCCCAATTTATACCCCAAGTTTGCAGGACGTGATCTGAGCATGGTATTGACGCAACTAACACGTAATGCAAACGCCACAACGGCGTGGTCTGAGCGTGTTGGGCGTAGTACAATCGTAGTACGGGTCGAGCTTGCTAGAGACACAACATGGTCATAGCGAGAGCATGGTCAGGTCGCAGAGACATCTCCATGGACGTAGTAAGACCGTGATGAAAACGTATTGATATCGTGCTGAGAACGGGGCGACAATTTCCACGCACCCGACACGCTTGCAATACGATCATTAAGTTCGTACTATGCTCAAGTTACACGGGTACTACGCCTTCCACGTCTCTAATACGCCCGGACTGCGCTGTCTTTCTGCCACGCTCGCACCACAATTGTTTTGAACATGCTCAAAGTTTGGCCACGCTTTCCATGCTCATGGTGACTGCACCGCGCTCGATCGCGATCGCAGTACGTCCATATACGTTCATACTGCGTTCTACACGTTTCCACCACGCTCTTAGAGCATATAGTACGAGCGTAGTGAGATCGGGGCCTGGTGTGAAGGGGGCATTACGATCCAGCCCCAAATAAACGTGAACATATTTTATTAAATTATTGTGAGAGTGTGGTGGGTTTTTGATAATAAAGTGAATTAAAAAAATAAAAAATAAAAACAAACTGCGTGCTGTGAATATATTTTGTATACAAAGGACAAACTCGTATCAGCTGTTCAACTTTCTACTGTGCCGTTAAGTGAAATGCTGGATGTTGACGAGTTGGACCTTAATTTACGTAATTTACCGTTTAAATTCATATTAGAAAAAAATCGTATGTATTTCTTTATGTTTTTCTGGCAAGTGACTTTTGCCTCCGGGCAACTAGTTTCATAACCCACTTGCCCGACAGCAAGTAGACAATTTTTTTTTGTAGCACCCTGTTATTATTATTATTATTATTTTATTTATTTATATTGCACATTTTTACATAAAATGATCAAATGTGCAGCACATCAATATCGCAAACGACTGAAAAATAAAACGAAATGATAATAAATAATATGCACATGTGAGATATATCGCTACAACTGTGAGATACAATGATATTACACTTCTCACGGTTCTTCCTCACACTTCTCTCAGATTCTCACCACTGTCGGCCGCGTTGGCCGGTGTCGTCTGCGTCTGCTGTTCGTTCGACCGCGTCTGCGTCTGCTGTTCGTTCGACCGCGTCTGCGTCTGCTGTTCGTTGGAGCGCGTCTGCGTCTGGATGCCCTGATTCCGCGCGGGCCCGAGCGAGATGTTGTTGCGCGTTCGATTGCGTGCGCCCCCGTGGCCGCTCTGCTTCGGCGACATGTACGAGTCGCAGGAGTCGGCCCCGCCGCCGCCGCCGCCGCCGCCGCCGCCGCCCCCTGACCCCGACGCGGACACGCTGCCAGAGTTCTTCACGCTGTCCCGGTCGCTCATGATCGACTGTAGATCCTCTAGCGGATAGAACGACCTGGAACGGATCATTGCGATATACGGTACTGTGATCAAGTCAGTGTGTTAGCCAGAGACCCATCTACCCGTCTTTTGGACGGCCTCTTCTTGGATGAGACGGATGAAATTTGATAGAAACGGCATGAGGGCGGCCCAATTCCCAATCAGATTCCTGTCTTTTTGGCATTTCAGACTAAATTTCCTCCATTTTAAGGTAAGGTTTTAAAAGATTTCCACACCGTAGGAGGGGAAAACCCCTCCCACACCCTACCCCCTAGGGCGCTTCGCTCAGATGGTGAGACTCCCCGATTTTTTTCCTGGCTAACACCCTGGATCAAGTGGAATTTTATCAAGGCGTCACAGAAAGCTTTCAAGTTGCTTCTTTCAAGCATCCCAGATTGCTTCTTTATATATCGTTTTCCATACAATAAAGCCAGAAAACGTAAAAAAACAAACAATTTAACGTAATTGACAAGTGAAAAATTATACCTATCATGTATGTAAAAACAAATTTACAATCTAGTGAAACTACTATGTACACACAATCCAAATTCAGATTTGTTTTAATAATGCTGTTTGTATACATATATGTATATATATATGTAGTATTTGTATATAAACATAATTATTATATCTACAGCAATATATATATATAAGTAATTATAAAAATAGATTGTTGAGACATAACTGTGGCTTTATGAGAATGGATAGACCTAACATGAGATGACGGCGTAGAGATAGATAACATGAATGACACTTACCTGGCAGGCCTGCCTCTAGCTTGGTCACCGTCTGAGTCAGTATCTGAGCTAAAGCTATGGTCGTAAACCCTACTCGTTGGCTGAATTCGCTTGTTGGCCATCCCTAGCACATGGACAGCAATCTCCCAAAGCGTATAAATCTTTTGTCCTACAACGGTTATTAGACAAAACTCAATAATTAAACATCCGTACATACCTTAGGATATATTTCTATTTCTATATTTCTTTCACACGCAGAGCAAAAGTATGTTTTGTTGAGATAATTCTGACACTGGATAAGACGAGTACTGCACAAATAGCACTACATTGAATAATAATTTCAATTTCAGCAAAAATTCACTCTCTACAGCTGTTATGAAACTTACACCTCATTTTAAAGTACTCAAATTTGTATTTCTTAGCGAATATTGGCGGGAATTCACAAACACCAGCAAGCAAACACAACATGTCCAATACCACGTTATTAGCGTACGTGCCACCATATGATTCATCATTGTATTATTCATTGTCATGCCAGGGTCAAATGCAGCTGCCTGGCAAAAACCCAAGCCGCGTTTACTTACAGGAAAGTTATTATATATCTAACTGGCTACAGGTGGTACAAACGTACTTTGCAGTTTAATAAACTTTATGAACTTTATCCTACATTACTGTCACTATAGCCTGTAGGACCATAAAACAAACATCATCCTCATACATCATTGAAGTTAGAAATAATTTGTTTTTGCCAGGCAGCAAGTATTTTCTGACAAAGAAAGGGGAACAGCAAAGGTTTTCACATCCAGGCAGAATCTTTTGTGTGTTTACTATATGGTTTATCAGGAATTTCTTGGCCGCAAGCATTTGCTGCCAACATTGCGAGCAGACAGAAAACTGACTTACAGCAGTTTGCACCATCATTGCTGCCAAATGTGATTTTAGGAGATTAAATCTACACTGCTGGCCACAAGAAATGATAGCTGAAATCTCTCGTTGAGCCGAGGTGTGAAGTCAATGCATAATTTTTTTTCTATCCATCTACTTTACTCAACAATGAATGCACTTCCATTTCTGCGAGTAATTAATGCTGCATAGGTGGAATGTGGTAACTGGCATAGTGTCTTAGATAGGCAGTATGAAAGATGTAACAGACTAAGTTACTAACCAATGTTTGACCCCAATTCTTTACTTTACATGTAAAAGAACGTGTAAACTATATTAAATTATATGTGAATATTAATTATACTATAATTAATATTATCTCAAAATGATGCACAAATATATATATATAGCACAATACTACTACATTACACTGTATAGTCTACACTAGTCTACAGTACAATGTACGTATTTGTGGTAAAATTATGCGTATTGTGTTTTTGCATATGTGCTCAACTTTAATATATTTGTAATAAATGTTGCTGTGATACTTGTTCATCACTGTGTTGTATGATAACGTGCGGTGCATATCGTATAAACACACACTCATTGACACAATCTCTTGGCCTAGTAATACTAGTATAGTATTAACTATTATGCATGGTACTAGCATAAGCCAACATGGCCCTCATGGCTAGCTATAGCCCTTGTCATTATATCCAGTGTAGTGGACACCAACAAGTATAAGAACATAACATAACATAACGTAACGGTAGGGTATCTGAAAGTGAAAGGACTAGGCCTGTACCGTAGTATTTGGACGCTCGCCCGAAACTGGATGCTCCTAAGTGCGCATGCGCACAGGCACCTCTTGTTTTGCAAGGGTGCATGCGCAGCATGCGCAGTAGTCATCTGCGCATCTCGCCCATCGAAAACGGTTACAATAAACAAACATGGCGGCCAACCCGGTCACTCATGGAAACATTTGATTGAAACAATTTGCAATGTACCAAGTTAGTAAGACTGTGTTATGTGTGTCAGGTTACAAGGCAAAACAAAAAGAAAACAAAAGAGCATGGCCACTATTTCCTACGACCCTGCAAAACAAGATTCAACCAAAAAGAAAACAAGAGAAAACAAAAGAGCACTTAGGAGCGTCCAGTTTCGGGCGAGCGTCCAAATACTAGGCTATGTAGCTCTAGTACTATAGCCCGCGTTCATTAACTGCCGAAGGGCTATAGAACATTTTCAGCTCAATTTCGCTACTGCATTTGGTCCGGATTGGTTCCACGAAAAATGGCTCAGAAAACGCAAAATGATCGGGCTTTTTAACACTTATTTATCTACATGAACATCTCACCTATCTTTTTGAACACTTTCCACAACGTATTTATGCCTTTAATAGCTTTATTCCTCACAAGTCAGCACTACTGGCTATACCATTTGAAATATTGTGGCGTGCGAACGCGTGACGTCACCGGATATGTAAGCAAAACACATGGCAGCTAGCTATGGTGCATGTATATACAATACCGGTGACGGTACGTCACGCGTTCGCACGCCACAATATTTCAAATGGTACAGCCAGTAGTGCTGACTTGTGAGGAATAAAGCTATTAAAGAGATAAATACATGGTGTATAGTTGTGGAAAGTGTTCAAAAAGATAGGTGAGATGTCCATGTAGATAAATAAGTGTTAAAAAGCCCAACCATTTTGCGTTTTCTGAGCCATTTTTCGTGGAACCAATCAGGACCAAATGCAGTAGCGAAATTGAGCTGACAATGTTCTATAGGAATAGCCCTGCGGCAGTTAATGAACGCGGGCTATAGTACTAGAGGGCGCAAATCCACTTTAGGCACCTTAGGTATCACGAAGTGATGCACAGATTTCTTTGTATCATCAACTGTAGACCGAATAATTCTGTCCCATATAACCTTTTTATATTTTGGTGAGGGTTATTGGGACAGAACAGGGCTCATTGAAATTTCGTGAGATCGCATGCAAAATGCATGCGCTGCGAATGCGGCCCGTACGCCGCTATTGGCGCGTAAAAAAACCTACCGTTCCCTTCTACATGGCTTTACCTTGCTACTGATATGTGTATACATTCACTTCAATCGTTATTCACTTCTTAAAAGATTGTTTTTCATAAACGCTGCTTCGTTCCACTTTCCTAAATTACATCGCCATTGACAAACAATCAGACCAATCAGAGCGAGTCTTACAATAGCCCCTGGTTCTCGCTTGTATCTGTGGCGCTGTAGGAGGGCTGATAGACTCGCTCTGATTGGTCTGATTGTTTGTAAATGGCGCACGTAATTTACAAAAGTTAAATGAAGCGGGTTTCTGAAAAACAATCTTTTAAGAAGTGAATAACGATTGAAGTGAATGTATACAAATATCAGTAACAAGGTAAAGCTATGTAGAAGGGAACGGTAGGTTTTTTTCGCGCCAATAGCGGCGTACGGGCCGCATTCGCAGCGCATGCATTTTGCATGCGATCTCACGAAATTTCAATGAACTTTAGATTAAAGATCAGCATGGAGATGCTTGTCTTTAGCTTATAATAGCAATACCAATACTATTACACCGTTCTGTCCCAATAACCCTCACCAAAATATAAAAAAGGTTATATGGGACAGAATTATTCGGTCTACATCAACTGATGCACAGACTTTCCGTATATCAAGGAATGATGCAAAACCCCTAACCCTAACCCTAAGTCATAAAGTATAACCTGAGGCTTATGAAGTTATGTATCACGAAGTATGTTAAGGTTAGGGTTAGGGCTAGGGTTAAGGTTAGGGTTTTTGCATCATTCCTTGATATACGGAAAGTCTGTGCATCAGTTGATGATACACAGCAATCTGTGCATCATGATCACTTCGTGATCCCCAAGGGCAAGGTGCCTAAAGTGGATTTGCACCTAAATATAATATTATATCAATATAATAGTTTAGTGTTATAGTTAGGGTTAGGGTTAGAATTAGGGTTAGGGTTAG